AAAAAAAAAAAAAAAAAAAAAAAAAAAAAAAAAAAAAAGCCACCAAAATTGGGACTGTCCCTATAAAATCGGGACATCTGGTCACCCTAGTGCCCCATGCAGAAGGGGCGGCAAGGGACAAAGCACAGAAGTGTTGGTGGAAGAAGTGGACGAACATTTGAGGCTGGTGTGATTAGCTGAAAGCTTGTGGGGGGCCACGTGGTCAGATACGAGGGGGGATAATGGGGGGGGGGGGGGGGGTTACACTGTAATGTCATGAAGGGGAGCTGTCATGGAGAAAGGAGAGGGACTGACCTACTTGGACAAGGCCGGTGTGGAGATTCAGCAGACAAGACCGATGATAAGAGCCTGCACAAGCGTGTGAGCTGCAGTGTTCCAGCTGAAGGGAGCCTTCGGAGGGTGTCTGATGGTCTATTTATAGACAGCCCAGCTGTGACCAGTCTCCATAGGGCTAGCACAGGAGCCTTCCTGTAGGCTAGCGTGTTGAACAAAGATGCTTTTCACCCTTTGCATGGTGCTGTGTGGCTTTCCTGTCTCTCTTGGGATCACCCTGCTCTCTGGGGAAGGAACATTGCAGCTTTGTTACTTTCGGGCAGGATTTGCGGGTGGTCTGTCTTGACTGGTGGGGGAATGTTTTGGGAGACTCTGGCTAGCAGAGTTCACTGCAATTCCCAGCTGTCTATTCAATGCACTGGCTTGCAGTGTTTCCAGACTGAATATGCATGGCATGTATAGGCCCAGGTAGGTGGGAGGGCCCTATCTCTGGAGTGGGGCAGGGTTTGTCATTTCCCTACAGTCCTGGATTAGCTGGAGCAGACCAAATGGACATAGCAGGAGGAAAGAAAATTAAACTTCAATCCTTCTCCATGCCTGTGAGGAGCTAGAAGCTTCTTTGCATCTCGCTGGTGTTTGTGGGAGGGGAGCGCTGGCAGTGGTGCAGTCCAAGTTCTTTGGGATGAGTGTGTCTCCTCTGTCTCTCAGATCCCCAAAGATGAGCATATCCTTCGATTCCTGAGGGCTCGCGATTTCAACATCGACAAGGCTCGCGAGATGCTCTGCCAGTCGCTGACCTGGCGCAAGCAGTACCAGGTGGATTACATCCTGCAGACCTGGCGACCCCCGTCCCTGCTGGAGGAATACTACACTGGGGGGTGGCATTACCAGGACAAAGGTAGGACGGTATATCTGCACCACCAGTGCAGGTTACACTGTAGCATGGTGAAGAATCCTAGCATGGGTACATTTCCTAATTCATATGAATGTCCCGATTTTGTCAAAGAAATCTCTTTTGTTTTTGTACATACACATGAGGCTGAATCTGGCTGGCCTAAAGCTCCCCTTGATAGGAATATGCTTTGGGCACCATTTTTTTTTCTTTTAATTTTTAAGAAAATGCCCCGCTTGTAGGTAAGCAACTCTGTTTCCAGTGGAAGCTTCTCCTACCCAAGTGCCCCATCCCTTCCCAGAAGGGTCTGCCCCCTAAGGAGATGAGTAGGTCAGATGCCAACCGATTCAACCGACAGCTTCTCTCTGAGCTGCTGGCAAGGCTGTTGTGATATCATCACCTTCTCACTGAAGACTGGATTAAGACCATCAGACAGCTAACCATCTTAGGCCAATGTTAACCTGTGGCATGGATAAGAGAGAATCTATAGCTCATTTCCCCCCAGCCTCCACCAGGCTATTCCATCTCCCAGGCACCTGGCCTATTTATTACTGACAAGAAGCTGTGGTTAGATTAGCCATCTGAATGCTACTTTTCTTCAGCAGAGTTTCCAGGTTCTTTGCAGGATCTCCCGTTTGGGGGCTTAGAACTAGTGTTTTCCCTGTAATGTCTTTGTTTTTTCTTTGCTTTGAAGATGGCCGCCCCCTCTACATCCTCCGCCTCGGTCAGATGGATACAAAAGGTTTGGTGAAGGCCCTGGGAGAAGAGTCGCTCCTGCGACACGTAAGGGATGCTTTTATTACCTATATAACTTCAGCTGCTACAGTGCTCTGAGAGGTTTAGATGAAGTGCAAATCACAGCAGCAGGCCCACATGGGAAGGGATCCACTTGGCTAGCAGATGAAGGAATTGGTTCTAATACCACATATCAGTTGGCCTTGTGTATCTCTCTCCCATCAAATGTTGATGGCGATAGGGTTCAGCATGCAGCATAGGGGCACTATATAGCCTGCTGATTGGCCGCATCTTACCAGATACAAATTTGGAGGCAAATTCTTCATTGTCTTCAACAGTTAGGCCATCACGGAACCTGGCACTTGGTTGATACAGTGGCTATTAGGGCTTATCTAAATGAGCACTCAGGTGCATCTACAATGGATTCCCAGCTTGTGTAGATGTACCTATCCTAGCTCTGCTCAAGTCAGCTTGCCAAAAACAGCAATGTAGCCAGGATAGCAAGGGCCATGGCTTGGATTAGCTGCTTTAACATGTACCCAGGGGGTCCAGGCAGGTACATGCTTGGGTAGCTAGCCTGAGTCACTGCCCATGCTATCCTGGCTACACTGCTGTTTTTAGCATGCTAGCTCAAGCACCTTGATGTCTGTTGGCACAGTTCCCACTACAGCACGTGCTTACTTTTGCCATCACCTTGAACAAAGAGCAGCAGCTGGTCTCCTCTCCAGTGTCCAAGCTCTTCTCAGTGCAGGAGAGAGAGGGGAGCATGGTTGGGGAATCCGTTCTGACTCCCTGTTTCGGAATGCCTCCTCAGCCCCCATGCTACCAGGCAGCTCTAGATTAACCCTCTTGTGTAGGGTCTTTAGTGGCACGCATAGTGGTGTAGCTCCTCCCAACCCCCAACGTACTCTCCAGCCCAAAGTGGGGCAAGGCCCAGCCATGGCACAAATGCACCAGTAGGAAGTTCTCTGATGCCAGGGCAATTCTCTGTTAGTGATGTGCAGCTGGACTGTGGCCCTTACATTACCCAAATGATGCAAAGGGGCCGTAGCTGGGCTTGAGAATCTGGTACACAGCATCTTGGGATCTTCAACAAACAGGCCTTGTAAACTCAGTAGAACTGATTTTTCAGCAGAGAGAACCTTTCCAGAAATCTCATTTCTTGTTCTGTATACACGTAACATGTTTTGGCTCCAGCTCCCTGTTCATGTGATTTCCTCAGTGTTCCCGCATGGTGGAGTAGGAGATGGGGGCTCTTCTTTGGGTGTGTTGCCAAGGTAACCCCCAGTCTGTACTCTTGCGCGCTCTCTCTCTCTCTCTCTCTCTCTCTCTCATTTCAGGTTTTGTCAATTAACGAGGAGGGACAAAAGAGGTGTGAGGAAAACACCAACCTGTTTGGCCGTCCCATCACGTTAGTATGCGTTTAACTGTCTTAAGGCACTGGTATGGTGTGAGCCAGCAAGGTGGAAGTAACATTTCAGAGAAAGTTTTTAAGATATCATTGATTTTACTGAAATAAGTAACTGGAATTCTTAGGCCCAGGCCACAGATAGGAGTATTTTGTTTGTATCAATCCCTACTCCAGCCAAGGCAGGGGTGTCTGTGGTATCATATGTCCTGGGCTTAGCCTAGATAAACTGTACAACTTCATAAGAAGGAAAACAAGGCTATTTTTCCCCAATCATATTGTCCAGCTTTTCTGCCACATTCCAAGTGGATCTTCTATCTGATGCCTTGGTGATCCCAATCCAGCTGCTTGAAGCCTTTAGTTCTGGCTCCGTTTGCACAGCATCGGGTTTTTATGCAAAATAACTCTTTAGTGCCATGACAGTAGTGCCCAGATTGTGTCTTGGTGGATCTAAAAGAGCCATTTGCTCAAGGGCCTGAGCACCCTTAACCACCTCGAAGTGTCGTCCTCCCTGGGAGGAGGAATCCATTCCGTGCACTGAAAATACCTTTGGACTCTGGCCATCTGCTGCTCGTATGGTGGGGGGTAGTTGTTGCTCCACTGGTACTGCCAGTCACCCCCTAGGTTTAATAGAAAGTGTACGATAAAAGATTTTTGTGCAACTCTTATTTGTGCTGGCTGGACAGGTGCTGTGTTGGTGACGAATGGGGATACTGTGGTGCATTTCTCTCCAATTCTTCTGTGCATTTCAGATCCTGGACGTGTCTGGTGGATTTGGAAGGGCTAAACATGCGCCACCTGTGGCGGCCTGGAGTTAAGGCTCTCCTTCGGATAATCGAGGTTGTAGAGGACAATTACCCTGAGACGCTGGGGAGGTTACTGATCGTGCGAGCACCACGGGTTTTCCCTGTGCTGTGGACTCTGGTAAATGAAATCCTTACTGTACAGACAGTGAGAACTAGGCCAGTGCCACAAGTGCCTAAAACATCCAGGCCTGCAGATGTTCTGCATCATTGGAGGGTTATGGAGGAAAAAGCTCTCAGGCAACCTGTCATTGGACTGAGGAGAGCTAGACACTGCTCATTGGCGGAGCTCTGGGATTAGCCATAGTACTGCCACAGAGCAATATATGTTGTTTTCACATCACTTTTAGCCTCTGCCATCCTGCCAGCGCTGACCAGAGTTTGGGATCTACACTCTGAGCTCTCACATGGCGCTTTGCTGCATTACCACCAACTGACAGGCTAGCTCTTGGGACTCTCTCTCATACCGATATGCAAGAGTCGTGCCAATAAAAAGCTGTAATTGGCAGAGGTTTGAGTGGCAAAGATAAACTGCTTTTAAATCCCACTCGAGAGAGCACTGGAGAATAAAGTAATGAATGTGACCCTGGCTAGGGCCTGCTGGGTGTATAGGCCACAGAACGGACAAAGCCCAATGCAGTTCTGGAATAGTGTTGAGTATGGGGAGGTGACTTCTAGTTTTATCTAATGGGGGGGGGAGGTGGCGGGGGAACCCTCTGAGAGAATGGAAATATTTCTGTGTATAACCTATTCTGGTTCAGGGCCATCAAATTCCCTGTGGACTCCAGTCCATGGTGCTAGGAGTGTTTCTGGAATGTGGTGCAATATCCTCTCCCGTTACGGTCCTTGCCATAAGAACATCATCTTCTGTCCACCTGTATTTCAGGTTAGTCCCTTCATCAATGAAAACACCAGGCAGAAGTTCCTCATCTACAGCGGCAATAACTACCAGGGTCCTGGAGGGCTTGTAGACTATTTGGACAAAGACGTGATTCCAGATTTCCTTGGAGGAGAATGTATGGTGAGTTTCCCTTACTTTCGTGTAAGGTGAATCTGAGGTACGCTGTCTTCCTGGGGGCCTCTCCCTTCCCAACTCCCCTGGTCCTTCCACTCTTTCCCTTGGAGTAGTTACCTTTCTAGACTGGTAGTGCCCGAAGGCCCACACAGGACTGGGGACCCATGATGCTGGGTGCTGAGATTATCCTTGCCTCTGAGCTCACCTTTGGAGAGGTGGCATTTTGCCGAGAAAGCCTTTATGAGGGAGATGCGTTTAGATATTCTTACCCTTCTGCTCTTATGACTGCGTTGACCTTGAATGTTATGGAAAAACGGAACTTGGTCCTTGGCCGTCGAGAGTTCTTCCTCGAGTCAGTGTGGTTTTCCTTGGGTTATTCGGGTCTCTGTCTTTATCTTGCTTTAAAAAAAAAAAATACCTGAAAGGATGGGTTGAGCCATAGGCTAGAGATTGGTGATCATGTCCCAATCCCATGACATAGCATCAAAATATGACTCCACTGCTTCAGTTGTCAAAGGGCATCCAGATTAGCACAGGTCTAAAAATATCTGGCCTAGCTCCTTTAGTGCCTATTGGATTAGGGAGATTATTAAAGGGACACGACCAGACTAAAAAAAATAAACCAACACATCATGTGTATAAGACTCTCGATTTTGATTTTTTGGGGGTTTATGCATAATTCATACATTACAGGTAATGTGCCTTTAGTCTGAGCTTTAAAATATTAGAACGGTTGTTTTCATATTTTTGATATCTGCCATTGAAGCCACTTTCTTTAAACCTTGTTAACTTCATGTAATAATGTGCAGGCACTTGTGTTCTTATTGTAGGTTGCCCAGAAGCTTCTCAATAAATTACATGAAATTTGAAATAACGAAAAAAACCTTAATTTACTTTTCATCATTTATGCTGCTCACCATGTCACACCCCATTCAGATAATGAAAATACAATGATGAGTTTCACTTATTTTTCGTCAACTTTGCTTTCGGGCTGTGTGGTGCTAGCACCATGGTGCAATAGTTGGATTCCAGACTCTGCTTGGAGCATTTAAAATTAAGCCAGGGCTTTTCACTGACACATCATGGTAAAACTTGAAATAATATTACATGTCGTAACACTGTCTTTTAAAGAAAAGAACACTCTAAATCAGATTCCCAACCTAACTGATGGGAGGTGCCCCTCACAAAGAGCAGGGGCCAGATCCTACTTGTGTAAAGCCAAGCTGAGGATCTGATGTTTCATAATAGGCAACTGGGTATATTGGGGATGTCTAGATATTTCCATAAATGTTAGTTTAGTAGAAGTCCCAGTACAGATGTCTGTCTCTGGTTCTTACAGTGCAATGTCCCTGAGGGTGGACTGGTCCCCAAGTCACTTTATCAAACAGATGAAGAACCGGAGAACTCTGATCACATCCGACTATGGACAGAAACCATCTACCACTCTGCAAATGTTCTTAAAGGGGCTCCCCACGAGGTACAGACCAACCATGTGCTGTTCTGGGGAAGGCAGGGAAGTGATTCCAAGGGACTGAGCTGTAGATTTGTTCTTGGGAAGGCTGGGATACAGCAGTGAAGGGATCCCAGCATGTAAGTGCTGGACGTGTTCCAGCAGCACAGTGCTCGGCAGGGGATGGCTGAGATAACACAGCCAGCATTTGAGGTGTGTGGAAGTTAAGAACAGTAATTTGAGGGTCAGGAAGCAGTTTCTCTAGTCTCTGGTGTAACTTGTCCCTGCACACACTGTAGCACCTTCCTCCTTTTTCTGGAGAAATAAAGACTCCATTGGCTTCCCCACCAATATCCTTGTGTCCATTATTTATCATGCCTCTGATCTTGTGAGAGAAGAGAACGTGAGCTGGGAATATTCAGGTGTAATCAAAAAGGACAAAGTTGGGGAGAGGAATCCTTTGATCTGAGAGTGATGCACCCATTTCTAACCATGGACGATGGCTCATTCTGACTCAGGCTGTACGATTTCCCTGTGCAACAGCCAGTTGGAACCCCACAATTAGCCGTTCTAAAGCAGTCCACAGTTGAGCCCCAGAAACCTTTGCTTTGGTGCCAATTGTGCTTAAGAGGGGTACCACGGGAACTGGCATGATACTTTGTAAGGCACTGCTGATGCAGGAGAAGGTTGTGGTGAAAGTGGCCGAGCAGATCCACGGCAGTGAAATCTGCAGGCAGGAACTGGGATCAGCTCATGACCTCCTGGGGTGCTGAGACTTGCAGCAGTAATGGATTCTAAGACTACAAGAGCTGGACAGATTTGTGTGTGATGGGAACGTGGGAGGATGTTGGCTCTCACCTGAAGACCAAGCCCATAAAACCTGCTTGTTTTGCTGCTGCTTTAGATCGTTGTGGAAATCCTGGAGGGCGAGTCTGTGATCACGTGGGACTTTGACATCCTGAAGGGAGATGTGGTGTTCTGCCTCTTTCACTCCAAGAGAGCGCCCGAGACCAGTCGCAAAGAGGCCACTTCATCAAGTGCTTTGACTGCTGGGGACAACATGCAGCTAATCGATAAGAGCTGGGTTCTGGGGGTGGATTATAGCCGCATGGAGTCTCCACTGGTGTGCCGGGAAGGAGAGAGCATCCAGGTTGGACGTCCTGCCGCCTCTTGACCTCTAAACAGCCATGGTGAACCAGTGTAATGTTCAGAACCTGGTAGTGGAGGGTGTATGTGACTGTTGAGCAGGTTGCATAGGGAGTAGCAGTTTTCATTGACTTTTTCTGCAAAACTTTAACAAATTCCAGAATCCCATGGTTAAAAATACCCCAAACAATGGGGACTGGAAATCCTCCACTGCAAGGGAATAGAGGCTCTTTTCACAGCTCTCTGCATATGAACTAGACTCCCAGACCCACTGAGGAAGTGCATAGCATGGCAGTACCTGACTTAGACTTGTTTCCTTCAGCACAGCCTGACACACAGCATAGAGCATTTCAGAATATCTGGAGTGGCTCAGGACCGTGAGTGCCAACCTCAGGACAATAACCCCCAAACTGGTTGTATGTTCTATAATTAGATTTCACCAACAAGTGTGAATGCCTAAATCACTATACCAGTCTTACCATGAAGTCAGACAGTCCCCTTGGGTACTCCTGTCTATCTTGTGAAAGGTCAATATTCAGGTTACTCCCAGTCCCAAAGGATCACTCACTTACCTCAGGTCAACTGTTCGTCAGATCTCAAACCAGACCACACTTGTAGCCAATCCTGTAATAAACTAACTAAAAGCTTATTAACTAGGAAAAAGAAATGTTATTTACAAGAGTAAAACATGTAAAGATATACACACAAATGAGGTACAGACTTAGGTTCCAAAAAATGATAATAGTTATGATATGCACGCTTTAGAAGTCCCTTCACGCTAACCCAAGCTCAACAGCTTGCGGACTCAGGGCCAGCACAATCCATTAGGCGACCTAGGCGGTCATCTAGGGCGCTAACATTTGGGGGGCGGCACCTGCGGCGGCCAGATCTTTGGCCGCCCCGGTCGTTGGCGGTATTTCGGGGGCGGGACCCTCCGCCGCCTAAGGCGGCAAAAAGGCTGGCGGTGCTCCTGTGCAGACTTCTTGCGTGTGTTTAGAAATTCTTGCCTCCCAGAATTCAAGCAGCATAGGAATAACAATTTCTCTTTAACCGGCATTTTTATTCCCTTCCCCCAGTGTTCAAGCTGGGATGGAATAGGGCTTGAGCAGGGACCCTCTTCAGGAGTGTGGGGGAAGCAATCAATGAAGTCTTTTGTCCACAATGGCTTGTTTGATGTCTGTAGACCTTCTTTTGTTAGGGAGGAGATAACACCTCTTGTGGTGAACTAATATTTCACACTTGGTAATGCTTCTCCCCTGACTGTGGGGGATTTACTGTCTTAGCAAACACTTCTATAGTTCTAGAGTAAACTTTTACATATTACTATATAACATGGGAGACAGTTATTATAAGTAGGATTAATACATGCAGCATCCTGCAAGCATTCCATAAATTCTAAACACATTCTCATAACTCGAATATCTATTTTAACTATACTAACACACAGGGAAGCCAGACTGGTTTCCAGCTATGCATTTGTTAGTCTTCAGTGAGGCCTGGGACCTTGGCATGACCTTGACATTGGCAGACCAAATGCGCACAATGCTTTATTGGAGACTGGTAAGCAATAGGTCATGATCCAAAGCCCACTGAATTCATGGGCTTTGGCTCAGGCCCATAATGTGTTAACCAGATGATGTATACATTGGTTTCACTAGAGTTTGAGGTTAGTTAGCCTTTTGTTTTGGCTTTCATTTTTATTTTTGGAAATACAAACTTTTTTTAAAAAAGGGTGTGACTATTTTTTTCAGACACTTGGTAGTCGCTTGATGGTGCTCTTTGTCCATCTCTTACAGGGATCTCATGTGACTCGTTGGCCTGGCTTTTATGTTCTGCAGTGGAAAATGCACAGCTCTTTGCCATGCTCTGGCACCAGCCTCCCTCGAGTAGATGACGTCCTGGTCTCTTTGCAAGTTTCCAGTCACAAGTGTAAACTCATGTACTACTTTGAGGTGCTTGCATCCAAGGATTTCAGGTAGGAGCCATACTAGGGGCTAGGTTAATGTGTGACTTGCAATAGAGGAGCAGTCTAGCAAAGCAGACTGTGACTCTGGAATTCCAGATGTATCTAACCTTTAAAATGTCGGTCACGCACCACATGGAAAATGGATACAAGTAGACTGGACTTCTTCCTTAGAGACTTCCCTTTGTTAGCACCAGATGGAGCCTTGACACCTCCTTAGTCTTGGTGGGAAGTGAAGTTTTCCCTTTGTAAGGGCCATGACTAGACTATACATCGTCTGGAGGAATTACTCATTGTATGTATTGCCTTACCCCAAATGTCTTTAATAGTCGCTATAGCTTCTTGAAGGGGCGTGGAGTACTGTTACTTGGGAGACCAGTGCTTAGGAGTAACTTCGTAGCATGTTCTTTCCAGACCATTGGGCAAAGTAATCAAGTGATATGTCTGGGGTTCGAAGGAGGATATCGGTCACATGACAACAGACTTGTCTGCTGAATAAGTCTGACATAGAGGAAACCTGCAGAGTATCTGTACACCCTGATGGTTTAATGGGAAAAAACACATTAGTATGGTGCCTCCCAGCAGAGACGCTCTCAATGCTTTACAGACAACTAACCCTCAGAGCAGAATACTAGAAGAAAAAGTGGGAAGGGGGAAGGAGAGTGGGTGGGTTTTTTGGGTTGTGTTTTTTTTTTTTTAGTTGAAGGCACCAATATGACATGATTTGCTGAGTCAGTGGCAGAGAATAGCAAATAACCCAGAATTCCTAAGTCTAACCATTCAAACTTACTTCCCAGTGCTGTGGTTGTGGGGAAAAACGTGGTAGCAGGGCTGCCCAGAGGGGGGGGCAAGTGGGGCAATTTGCCCCAGGCCCCGGGCCCTGCTGGGGCCCCCATGAGAGTTTTCAGGGCCCCCCACGAGAGTTTTTGGCGGGTCTTCGGCAGCAGGTCCTTCAGTGCTGCCAAACACACCCGGAGTGAGTGAAGGACCCACTGCCGAAGACCTGGAGCTTCTTCCACTCCAGGTCTTTGGCGGCAATTCGGTGGCGAGGGCTCCTTCTGCTCTGGGTCTTCGGTGGCGGGTCCTTCACTCGCTCTGAGACCCGCCGCCAAAGTGCCCCGAAGTCCGCAGGCCCCCTGAATCCTCTGGGCGGCACTGCGTGGTAGTGGAAAGTGGCTACAACAGTAATAAATAGAACCTCAGACTGCCACAGTGTCAGGAAATCCGGGTACCACTGCTAGACGTCTTAAGTGAGGGAGAAACTATGATCTGATGCTGGCAACCCACAGCAAACAGATCCTTCTCAATTCAGCTTGTGGCAGCTCTTTTGATAGCATCCAGTGTGCCATTAACTGCTCACTTAATTGTTTCTCTGCCCACTCACTGTATATACAGCCCCAGAGAGCTTACTATGCCCTACTCCCATGATAACTATTATAGATGAGTCTACCTTGGTAGAAGGTAGAAGGGTGCTAGTATCCCTGGCTGTGACAATTTAATTCCTCTTTGTGGCACCTAGATACCTTGAATGTCTTTACATTTGGAGAGACCACAGTGAGGATAGAGTGAAAAATCCCACTTTGCACATCACTGGAAATAAAGTAATGGAATCTCAGATGCACTCGAGTATCAATAAGTAGCTGTATGTGTAACAAACGTATCCGTTTTCTTTCATCCCAGGGGGTCCATGTCAAGCCTGGAATCCTGCAACAGTGGCTTTTCCCAGCTCAGTGCAGCCACGACATCTTCCAACCAATCCCAGAGCAGCTCCCTCATTTCTAGATAGCGTGGCGTAGGCCTCTATTGACATCTGAAATGTTACATCCGCTCTTGGAGGCCTCCCTCCAGGGCAGCTCTATGGACCAACCCAAAGAGGCTGCAGTGTGGCTCAGCGTCAAGGCTTTGGGGGCAGTCATTCATAAGACCACGAGTAGCAGCAGTCTGGGGAACTCTTTGGAATCTATTTTCAGTAAGAGACGTGTGACTTTTCAATCTGCAAACTGGATTCCGTTGAAAGGCCTACCTACCAGTTGTGTTTTAACAGACCTGTGTTTTAGGGTGAATATCACTTTGCATGAATCTGTGTATTACTACGGTTAAAGGGCTCTTTCCAATCAGTCCTATTTCTACATACGATAGAGGAGACTGATGTGGCCTTATTTGTAATGACCCGTAGAACTAGATTTATTCACATGTAGCAAAATTAGTCTAGTTTTTCTGGGCGCCTGCAATACCAATGACACTCAAGGTACAGTGGGTGTTTCAGCAGCAGGGACTTGAAGCAAATTGTAAATAAATACCCGAAGACAGGACAGTACGTTTTGAGGGAGGGGGAGGGGGAAGAGGAGAAACTTCCAAGGTGACCCAAACCTGAAACCTCTCCCAGTCCGATTGGATGTTGCTTGGAAATGCTTCCAATTTTTTAATTAAAAAACCCATGTATTTCCTACAGTGCGTAGGCAGAAAGCCGACCTCCAGCAAGCAAGTCCTTTCTTAAAGACACCCACTTGTCTTTATTTCCTCCTCAGGTTTATGAGCAATAAATGAGTGTCTCTCTGACCCACCCCATCAGACTGGATGGGAATCAAATCACATTATAAAGGGCTCAGCAATATGTTCTTTCCTTAAAGGCACAAAGTTTTATGGCAGCATTATAGGAGCTGCTCCTTTAAAAACGGGCTAACTTGGAGAGGAGAGAACTCTTTTTTCTAAAGTACGTGTGCATGTGTATTTAAACACTTAATGAAACATATTTATTCAAATTGTATGATAGCTTATTTTAAATTATTGCTTAATTTATTTATAATTTCAGTGATAACTATTTATTGAACCAGATCACCTTTTTTAACCGGCTGCACTTTTTTGTTTTAAAAGGGAACGGCAGATCTTCTTGAATCCCACAGACCTTTAGATTTCATTTCTAGTCTCTGTGGCAGCTGGACATCTTAGCGTTCAGGGCTGTAGCACTCAGGGCAGTGTGTCGTCTCTTCTCCCAAAGCTCATGGGAGTGGCACCACTGACTTCAATGTTACTTACGTGAGTAAGGTTTTGCAAGAGCAGGGACCGAGTTTGCGGATGTTATTGGCAGGGAGGGAGCATTAAGAGCTGTTGAAGATATGTTCTTGTACAATCTCTGCTGATTACATCAGTGACGGACGTATTGCAAAAGGAGTAAGAACTAGGAAGGTAGAAAAACAGGTGGTCGATACGAGCTGCTTCTGGGCAGTATTTGTAACTAACAGACATGCAAGAGGTATTCCTCAATAAGAGTTTATCTTCTCTACCCCACCCATCCTTAACCGTTCTCACTACCTTCATTTGCTTGTTTCTAAGCACAGGACATTGCCAGAATGGGGGGGGAAACTGATAACTGGAGCAATGTACATAAGGAAGTTAGTGTATAAATACGTAGGCTGGATTTTCAAAGGAACCTAGGGAGTTAAGCATCTAGTTCAAATTGACTTTTAGTGGCAGTTCCAGAAGATAACAAATTGAGGCCCCCTTGAACATCCTAGCTGTCACTCATAGCATGGAAAAGGAAACTCCAGTGACAGTGCACACACCTGCATAGTAAAACCCTTACTAAATAAGAACGAACATCAGGGACTCTTCCAAGCATTTACCAGTGCTTAGTTATCTCCATCAAGTGAACGAGGGTTTTGCCTTTCTCAGGTAGGGGCTGCCATTTTAATGATACCTCTCAACCAAGTCCCAGTTTAATGCAAAGAGAGAATGGAAAATGGGCTTCACCATGAGAGAGCCCTGGAAATCAAAGTTGGTGAGAGCGAGTGTATGTGTACCCACGTACACAAAGTTGCTTTAACCACAACTGACTCGCTTTCTAAAAACAATTACTCAATTTACTGTGTAACTTTTAAATGGTTTTGATTTCCAGCACTTTCCAATAGCAAAGCCCAAGTCCTATTCTGTGCCATATTTCAAGATGGCTGCTTGTTTCTTGGTTTGACAGTTACGTTTTTTCACATTTACTCTGTCCCTGTGAGAATAGTTCTCCTTCATTCAGTAAAAAGTACTGAAGGTGGAATTCTCAGCTTAGAATTTATTGCGTGCCTGCACATTCTGAACTGAGATGGGGAACAAGAGCCTTAAGTGGAAGGGGAAAAGGCCACGGGATGGCTCACTCTTGCTGTCTTTCTAGGGCTTCTTACAATGGCCAGTGTTCTTTCCCATGATCCTGAAACATCAATCTCCTGTGCACCATGTGTGAGGTTGCACTGTAATTCCAGACGTGGGACAAAGTAAAACTCCTCTGAAACTTGACTCTTTTTTACTAAGCTACATTAGCTCATAAGGCCTAATGCTCACTTCTTCAGAGCATGCTCTAGTGCCTGGAGCGCAAGGTGATTGGTGTCCTGGGTTCTGTTCACTGCTCCCCATTGATTCCTTGCGATCCACAGCAAATTCTTTAGGCTAGAACAGTGACACTCAGACTGAGCTCCCGAGCCACAAGTGTCTCTTTAACATGTCTCCTGTGGCTCTTTGCAGCACATGATATTAAAATACCATGTGATTTAATTATGACCCAATCAGGATGCTTTTACTATGTTGTTAACCAATTGTAGTTGATAACATAATAATACTTGGATCAGTCATTTTGCTGTGTGTGTGTATATAAATACATTAAAATTTCCCCTGCCAGACTGTTTAAAGATGAATATATAGCACTACAGTAAATGAAACAATGAATTCACACTCTGGCGGCTCTCTTGGGTAATGTTGATTATTAATTTGGCTCCTGGATCACTGGGCTAGGACTTTCAAAAGTCCAATAATAGACCCATGTAATTTTTAGAAGTGCTGAGCACTTGTCACTCCGGTTGAAGTCAATGGAGCTCTGGCTGTGCCACACTTCTGGAAAATCAAGCCCAGCTGTCTAATTGGGCACCCAGAATGAAATCACTTCTGTAAATTTGGGCTTTAATCTCTTTGTTTCAGTTACTCCATCTGTAAAATGCACATAATACCTACCTCACAGGCTCATTGCAAGGCTGACATTTGTAAAGGCTTCTGAGATCTTGAGAGGAAAGGCAAAGTGTTACAGGACCATCTCTATAGTTTAAAAATCACATGGCCATATTTACATCTTGACTCGTGTGTGTCTGCAAATATACACAGTCTGGTACACAGCAAATTGGGGTATAAAACAGATGTAGAAAACGTGATTTGCATTGAACACTGGATGCCAGACTACATTTCTAGTGTCTGCAGGGGCAAAAGCCAGAATGTTCCAGTTGAGTTCAGGGCTTGTGGTTAAATATTTAAATGGTGTTTATTTTAAAGGGGCTTTTTTTATTGTTCTGCATGGACCACAACCTTAGTTTTGCAGAAGGGCTGAGAGGGACTTGAGTCCAAGTGGCCTTGATCTGACTGAAGCAGCATTGCTAGATTTTTTTTTCTTCCCAGCAGCCCGTGTACTGAGAGAACCAAAATGAGTTTTCTGGAGCACAAAAATCATAATAAAGCACTACTGTATTTTTTCTGTTAGGGATAGACTGTAAATTCCCTTTGATATGGATCCTTTCTCTATATTGTTTTCCTATTGTGGAAAATGTGTGGAAACAATCTTCAGTTGGATGACTTATCTAGTGAAATGCTGAGCTATGGTGATGATTCAGTTAGAGGATTAGGATACTATTTCAGACATGGTTTGAATAGTCTCTGTTTTGCAATTACAATCCCAGAGCCCAGGGTTGGACTTCAGTGGCACGTTGCTGCTTAAAAGGTGGCAGTTGCGCTCCCCTTGCCTACAGTCTTGCAAACAAGTAAGACTCTGATGCCCTACTCCAAAGGTCATTTTAAGTGGTCAATTAAAAAACCTAGTGGGTGGGAAAAGGGCCAGAATCTGCAGGTCCTACCTACTGAACTTGGGTGCTAAGCTGTCATGCGTTTAACGTAGCTGCTAAGGCCAGTTGTATCAGCAAAGCCAGTGACCTTCTTTTGAAATGCATTTCACTTCCTCACCCTCCTCATGCTAATGGTCCTGCAATTATACTGTGATGAGACTCTTCTTTACAGGTTAAGGCTGAAAGACTATTTGAAGGGCATTTGTCGGTGCCTCCTGCCTGGTGGTGGTTTTCTATGCTCCCAGCATAGACTTGAGAAAATTCTTCTAACTAGCCATAAAGGATGTTCATTGTCAGCATTGACCAGGACTCAGTTTTAATGGCACTGTAACACTTCCACGCTATCTCTGTATAAAGACTCAATAAATGGGCATTATTTTTTTTAGGGAAATGTACTATTTTCCCCACTCAACCTGCTCCTGTCTTAACTTTTATACAAGGGTCTTGATTCTTGTCAGCAAAACAAACAAAAAAAATCTTGTTCTGAGAATTCAGAGCATGCTACTGGAATACACAGGGTGCTTTGTGACATGTTACTGAGCAACAAATGTGAAGCTACAGATGCTGTACTTATGGCAGTTGGAAGTTGAAGTTACCAGCTGTAATTTTCTGCTCTCCATATTTCTGTAACTTAAAAATAAAACGAATAAACCAATAAATTGTTTTTTTAGATGACTAAATACTGCAGTTGTGGTATCTGTCACGTAGTCTAAGGAATTTATATACAGTGTATGTATTGCTGCGGTTATCTAAATGCACCAAGGAGTAAAGATGAATCTTACCTCATTTCACAAACCTGTCTCATGGGCTGTGGTAACAGTTCAGTTAAAACTAATTTTTTTTTCTGTAGTGGCTGAGGATGACACAGGATCCCACAGCAGCACTTCCAGCTCTATAAAGATTCTCCGTGGGTAAAATGGGAAGGAGCCCCAGTTAAAAACCTGGCTGTGATAGACCATTTCCCCTCAGTGTGAGATCGAATACTGGTTTATTAAGAGTTCAAACAGTCACTTACTAATTGAGTTTATTCAAGTGGTAAGTCACCAATAGCAAAATCAATTCTTAAATGTACAGACTGATCTGACTCTTCAAATATGGTACAAAAACTCCACGAGCTCTGCTTATGTGGAGAGTCACAGTAAAAATGATCAAAGTGCATATTCAAGGTGCTTTAACCCCACCTTGCAGCTGCCAGTGGCACATTGGAGACTAGTTACTTGCCTCAAGAAGAGGAAGCAAATGAACATGTTTCTAAAAGCCCTTTTAGACTCATTGGCCTAGTAAAATCATCAACCTCCACCTGATATGTTTACTAGCTTTGACAACTTTAAAATCTACTGAACCTCAGTCCTCTCTATTGAGCAACTTTCTGCACTCAGAGGGCAAATGCAATTTTTACAGCAGTGATTGGAGCCTTCAGCACCTATGTTGGAACATGGTTGGGAATAAAGAAGTTAGATCCTGGCACAATTAGCATATGATTTAACTCAAGTGTTCCACCTCGCTGTAGCCTGTGTGTGCTGTTGCCTTGAGGCTTTTCCTTCAAGGTGAGTTATTCTTCACTGCCCCAGGGACAGCACAGGACCAGGTCCAGAGAGTGAGCCCAGGCTAAACTCACTTTTACTAAAAAGGGGAGCAGAATCACTTAAAATCCCCAAAGCAGTGTGTCTGCTCTAGCAACAGTGAAGAGGAGTGAGACTTTTGGGGACTGACACCGTTTATGACCCTATCAAAAACGTAATCCATCCCTCGCTGCGGCAGCCAACCAGTCATCCAAAACAGCCAGCTTGTGGCAGACAAATTCTACCCTTGGTGAAAGAAACGCCTTCCAGCCCAAATTGCAAGAAACACAGCTTGAGTGAAACAAGCCAGATGTGACCGTGTTCTAGCCACACCGCTCAACCATGGAACATGCCATGGTGTGAGAACTGGCCCAAAGCGAGAAAAGCCGTGGGCTAGTGCATGTTGCACTTCCACTGACTTTTCTTAAGTTTTCTTTTCATTGTCTTTAATTAATCAGGCTCAGTTTGCTGGGCAGGGAATTCCTTATCCACTCACAACTAATGCAGTGAATACTGACTAATCCCCATAGTTATTACAGGCCCCTGTTCTCCATGGTAGAGCAGCAGTTGCTGCTGTTGCACAGGGCTTCTCATGTCCCCTCTCTCCTGAGCACCAGGCCCAGGAAGGGAACTGAGAGATTTCTGCTTGAGAAGTGGCAAGAAGGGAGGCAGCTGCTGGGTTGAGCCCATAGTCACATGTTTTGTGACTACCACCTTGTGCCCCTTCTTGCTGCTGTTCTGTGCAAGTTACTAGCTTCTCATTCCAGGACGAAGCAGCCCTTGGTAGGTCCTCTGTGCTGAAAGCCAGTACCACAGCTGGGGAGAATATCTCAAGTCTTTCCCCACCTGTGACGTTAAATGAGTGCTTCAGTCTCTGGCTGGCTTTGATCTTGAGTGTCTTCTGCCTGGTACTGCTCCAAAGAGGCAGAAGGGCATGTATGACTGGCTTCTCCATTCATTTCTTTCAGTGGATGGTACACGTAGTCACCACTTTCACAGCGCTCTGCTGCCCGGCTCCTGAGAACTAGCCTCAGGTTTCCAACCACACTGATCAAAAGCAGCAGCCCCAAGACTGAGGTGAAGCAGATCCAGGTTCTCCTGTGAGAGAGGAACGAATAACCCAGTCTCAGAAATGCAGCACTACATGTTTTAGTACATCTGTAACTATGCAGCAGATTTCAGGTATGTGGCTCCTGGCTGGCTGCACCACTGCTGCAGCCTAAGGTCTTGCTTCTCACAGTGGCTTAAGTGGGTGCTTTTAGCCTCTCAGAGTGGTTGCTTCTATGATGTTTGGCCTCTTCCTTTAACACTAACCTTTGGTCTCTCTCTTCCACCAATAGATCTGACAGTGGCAGACAGAAAGGCTGGGCTTAGTGAACAGCGTGTTCCTCTGTGTGAAATGATTGGGGCATAGAAGAAAGATGAATGAATGGCTGCTGGACCCCACTGTTTCCAGCAAGTATAGGAGTGCTCAATTTGTTTCATAACTAAGGCTGTGTGTTGGTCCCAGAGATTAGGGAGGTCATGGATTCTGTGATTTTAGGTGACCTCTGTGAGTGACTGTAGCCCCTAAGGGGGTGGGGCTTGGGCAGCCAGCCCTGTGCTTCTGTGATTTATTGTGTATTTTACTAAAAATACCTGTGACATAATCTTAACCTTATTCATAACAAAAGCAGAATAGCGTGTACTTGAAGCGGTTCTCTCATTTCACTAACAGGAACCAGAATGTAGGGTTAGTTGTGGCTCCCTACAGTAAAAGTAAGTGAATGGCTTTAAATGTGGAGGCCCATCATTAGCAGTGCAGCTGGTCCAGTCTCTCCTCATCAGTAATACAAACACCATGCAATGCTGCTGCACCTGGATGGCCTGCAATTCTATCATCAAAATTAACTTGCCCAGAAACTGGAAATCAAGTGCAACACAGGGCAAAAACTAGGCTAAGGGCGTTTAATCCACTGTTTACAGTGGCTGTTTGGTTCCTTTGGATGCTGTGTCCATGGGGCTCTGCTTTCCTACACGAGTTATTTGCAGTTCAGAGCTAGTGGGGCTGGAGGACTTGCAATGCAATATTGCACTAAATGCTGCAGCATATTGCAACAGCATATGTGAGACCCCTTTCTCCACCAATCCCCCATGGAGCAAACCCTGCTGCAGCTAGGCCAGAGGGGAATAAAGCTCTTGTCTTACAATTACAGAGGCCATTCACAATCTACCCCCAAGAGCTTAGCCGAAGTGAGGATGGATCATGATTCATCTCCCTCCCCGAAGCCAGGGGCCTCCCTGAGTATTATTTACAGGCTGGCTAGTGGCTGAACAGTATGTGAGAGGAGGGAGGATAGGGCACACCCTGGCCTTCCCATGACAGCTGTTGAGCAGTGGTTGCCCTTACCTTCCCCTCTAGTCTTGTGCCAGAGCAGCAGGGCCCTAGCTCTTACTTGTAGCCCCACAACTTGAGGCTGGCTTTCAAAGCCAGCTTAGACACACTCCGCAGCCTAGGGGCAGCTCCCTCCTGAGAATTTTGTGCTCAACCAGAAGCCTGATGAGCTGAGTACAGAGCTTCCAGGGCAAGCACATGTACTATACACAATGAAGCAGGAGCTTTTCATACTCCATGGCCATCCTCCCCACAAAAGGCCAACTGGCAGCGGGCAGGTGCTGCTCTACCATTTGTTCATATATAACCAAACACTGCACACTTACTCTGTGAGAAGGGGTTTCTCGTCACTTCCTGCCTGAACCATGAGGAAAGCCAGACAGTAGCCAGCTGGAAGACAAGATGACAATAGGTGAAGGAAACAGGCATGGGCGGGGTGGAACTGCCTAACACCCAACGAGCCCAACCGAAGCACGGGGGAAAGCATTAGCTAGCCAAGATGGCGGCAGCTTGGCTCATAGCTCCGCGAAGCTAATGACAAGTGAGACAAGCTTCGGTCTCTATGGTCACATCAGTGTCACATGGTAAAGCTGCTGCGCCATGTAGCCGAAGAGAACCAAGCAAAGCGGCAGCACAGGACATACCTCTGGATAACTTGTCCTGCAGGCTATCCTCGTAGGTGATATTACAGCTGCCCGTCTCCTGGTCACAAGGACAGCCATGCTCGCAGTCACAGAGCTGCTGGCAGTTTGGCCCATACCAGCCTATGGGGCACTCTGAGGAATTAAGGTCAATTGATTACAAAGAAGGCAGGGTATACTCCCTGCAGGCTGGGATTTCCACATCAGCACAAGGCACGTTACCTCAGCCATGCATGTCCCACTAAAGCCGTTGCACGTACAGTAATTGTTCAGAAACATTTAAACAAGCTTCATTTCCCCAGGGTATTTTCGCAAACTTGTCTAATCTCCCTCCCCATAGCATCTGAGCACCTAGGGAATGATTTAGAGGCCACGATTTAGTTTGGAAGGACAAGCGTTTTATAAGAAAAAGGTGACAAAAATTAAAAGATCACAGTGTAATTAATCTGTGTAACTCCCTGCAGCAGGATCTTGAGGCAGAAAGTAAGATTCACACCAGCATTAGATGTTTTAATAAGAGCAGGTGCGGTTACACAAGCTAAAAAATAAGAGCTAGAGGCAAATCAGCCATTAAAGGGAGAGTGCAAATGTCAGACTTTCAACACTCATCGACTCACACTAGGTACATGCTAGAGGCAAAGTGTGGCACGACACCCAGAATTAAGAGGTCATGGTCAGCTGCCTTTGGCTTTGTCAGATTTACAGCTTTCTGGCTGAAACTTGGCCCATTTGTCAGGCCAGCTGTGAATTAGGTGGGAGTTCAGCTGGTTTTGAAAGCACACAGGGAAAGAGCCAGTCGCTTCCAGTTACAAAAGAAAGGGTCACATTTTTAAACAGCGTTTTGTAGGTAAAAGGCAGCCCCCTAGCACAGCTGTAAGCCTGACCTTTCTGCATTAACATGACCCACATGGAGAGTCTATGCCTGGGCTTGACTGAGCCCTGTGGGGCAGAGCTCATGTCTTCCTTAGTCTGAACACAGGGTTGCTCCACACAGGACATTCAAAGCCTTCATACGCACAAACCACTACTGGGAAGAGATGTCACCTTGCTGACAGATGGCTCCTTGGTAACCAGCCGGGCAGGTGCAGGATCCGTGCACAGGGTCACATGCTCCACCGTTCTGACAGAGGCATTTCTGGGTGCAGCCATCCCCATAGGAGCCGCTAGCACACGCTGCAGGCAAGCACAAAGTCATCAGGGCTCTCTTACTGGCCATGCCAAGAGCAGCTGGAATTCTCTGTATCAACACGCCGGCACCCCTTCCCCACCACTCTGCCCATTCACTGAGTGTTCATTACACCGGGACAGGTCACCACAGCCCCTCCTACAAGTCAATCGGCTGCTAAGCAACCGGCAAAGTGCATTAAAACCAGGCACGTGCCTTGTGCCAGAGTGGAGCGAACCTGCCTCAGCTGGGAGCAGGGTATGCTAGGAGAAGGAAGAGATCCGTTTGCAGGGGGCTCACATTAAGGGTAAAAGGGGGGATGACTCTGCTCTTTATGCCTCTGATTAAGTGCCCAGAGAAGGGAGCACCACCAGAGCAGGTGAAGAGGTTGGACAGGACTCCTACCTTGCTGTAGCTGTTTCCCTCCTCCCCTTTAATGGGCAACCGATCCCAGTGAGGAATCCCCAGCTGGTGCTCACCACGGGCTGGCTTTGTCAGAGGATAACAGCTGAGAACCTCATGGACATGGGAGGGGCCTTCAGGAAAGCTGAGGAGCCCTGCAGCTCAGGGACTATCCCCAGGCCTGGGCAGGGGCAAAGACTTCCCAAGGGCTCTAGAAGGCACTTGCTGCATGGAGAGAGTTAACTGGTGCCTGCTGAAGTCACAGATCTCCTCAGCTCCCATTGATGATTTGAGCACCTTCGGCTCCAATGCCCATGACAGGGGTGTTGCTCCTGGCGAGGCCACAGAGACACTGCTAGCTGGGTGATTATGCTGGGTTGGGCTGTTTAATAAAAGGCTTTTTAAAAACAACCCCTCCCCCCCTGCACTGCTGATCATGTGTCCATCCCAGACCCATCAGCTCTCACACATGCTCCCTTCCCCATTGCTGCTCTAATGCTGGACCCCAGGGAACTCTCGGGAGGGCTGGAGAGCCAGGAGGGTGGTGACATCACTGTTATTAAGGAGGTGAAACCTCAGAGGGGAAGTAATTTATTCACACTACTTAAAACTTATTTAACTACAACACTTGAGGAGAATTTATCCTGGTTTAGAGGCTGAATTCACACTTCCCACCCTGCAGATAAAAAGGCAGGAAGCTTGCAATCTGCAGCTCTCAGACCCAGCTGACCAGGAACCACAGCTTGGAAATCCTGGCTGTGTCTAACAGGGGAAAAAATGCAGCAAGCCCATCGCAGACCACTATGTACCCTAAAGGCGCAACAGAAAAAGGACAACACACCCTGTTGTCTTTCTTTTGCGGCTCACCCTTACGAAGCTCTTACAAGACATTGTGGATGTTAGATAGGGTCAATAGAATCACATTTCCCCACTGCTGCAGGCATCAGGCAGACAGCGCCCTATAACAACGCGGTCCCCTCCATAGTCAGAAAGAAGATTACAATACAAACTGGAGTTACCTTCGCTGCAGTTGCTGCCTATCCAGCCAGCATCACAGAGGCATCCAGCTGCACAAGAAGGAAACACAAATCAGGCACTGCAGCTGAGATCAGCAGAGAGACTACGGGCTGCTTGAGACACCAATGTCCCCACTTAGAACATGCACCCGGAAATCAAGACAAGGGTTAACACACACTCCCCTCCAGGAGAGTCAGGGAGTGGACCAGCTGGGCTCATTTGCAGCTGCTGCTATAAAAGGCTTGGCTTTCAGCAGAGCCTGGAGTAAGAGCAGCTCTCTTCTCTTCTCTAGAGAAGAAGACTTCAGTTCTCAGCAGAGCACAGGTGCTTGATACTGGAGGCATTTTCGGTATGCAGAGCATGAGTGACTGGGGAGCAAACCATGTTTTTGAGAGGGCTGCAGTCAGTCAAAAGGTACTTTTTCTGTGGGGATTTCTGACGCTTGTGCTGGGAGCTTGTGGGATGAATCCCAGGATCATTAGAATGAAAGTCATTGGTGACCCTTAACTAGAAAGGCTCCAGTGTGGTATTTCAGCAAGGCAGGAGTGGTCCAGGGAGGTGACTGCCCTGTTGTTTTGTCATGTAACAAGCTCTGTAGTTCCTGCAGGGATACAAGGATGTGGAGGGGTCCTGGGAGGGGAGATGTTCACAAGAGGCTCTCTCTTCAGTGGTCCAGAACCTCTCTCGGACAGCTAGGAGCTCAGCCTTGTTACTGTGTGGTGCTAGGCGGGAGGGGTTCCCCTACTCCAATAAGGCGGCAGATATGACCTATGAATGTTAGCACCATAACCTGGCCAATCTCTACAGACCCAACACCCACAATAGCTGCACCTCCCTCCCCACCGCCCCCCTAGCTGGTAATGATGACATACTAGCGTGTGACACTAGTAACACACCCACCCCCCGTTGCAATGGGCTCACTTTGTAAATAGGGGTGGCTTACACTCAGTGCAGATGCCATGCTGGCTGCAGTTGGAAGGCCCGCAGTCCAGGATGCTGCAATCTGGTCCTCTCCAGAAGTCCCCAGTGCACTGGCACTCTCCCAGCATGCAGCGCCCGTGCCCGCTGCAGTCTGGAGGCTCGCAAGCAGGCTCGTGGATACACATGACTGTCGAGACGCTCCGAGGGCAGCGCCACATGGCGTCGGACTTGCTGAGGACAAAAGGCAGTTCCCATGAGCAAAGGCTGGGGTGTGAAAGCTTCCCTGCTCCTATAGCCCTATGGCATGAGTGGAGGAGGGGTGAGCTGTGCAGATACTGGCAAAAACTGAAAGCCAGGATCACTGAGTCCTCCAACAGGGAAACACCCAGGACTCTGCTGGTTCTTGGATCAGCTGGCACATTAGTACGGTGCATGGAGCTGTCGATCAGCTGCCAGCCACTTCATATTTGATCCCCATTTCAGTCACAGCCCCATTTGATAGCTCTGCTAGCAGCCTGATGATGGTGAGGGTTGTGTAATACCAGAGCACTTGGGAAAATTAGGTAATCACTCCAAATCCCATTAGTCACTCACTCAAAGAAACACTGTCACACGCTTTTCCTGTGCAAACTCCTAACGCTTCAAATGCTGATTATTCCCTCTTAGGTACAAGGTGAGAAGTACAGACCTCGAATACGCTAATTTAAAACAATAATGATCACAGTTACACAGCACACTTCTGCCTGAAAAAGCCCAAGGCATTTCCCAAACAGACAGCCACCATCAAAATACAGCCACCTCTGGGGTGGATGACAGCTGCTAGGTAGCCAACTGGCACACAGCACATTGTGCAAAAGGGGATGGAGAACTTTAGTCTAGGCCCACCACCTCCTCTTCCAAGGACTAATGGGACCCTTTATAGCCTGGCAGAGCAGATAAGGTCTCTGAAGAATATTGCCTCTTGCTTGCTACTCAACTCTTCTGCCTCGGAAAGAGAGGAAGGGGGTGGAACCTGCTGGGATTCATAACTCTTACTAGTCTAGCTATCTCATGCCTGATGTCTGGACTGGCACTTTGCACCAAGACATCAAGTTATTTCTGTGATGTTCCAGGCAGGTCAGAGAGCAATACAGTCCCCCCCATCCTTCCATACACACAGACCAGCATGAAGGACCAGATTCGTTCCCGGAAGAAGCAGGTGCATTTCACAGGAAAGTCAGTGGGAGTCCAACCCACTCTCGCCAGGCCTGAGTTTAGCCCTGTGACTCTGGAGTGGTTCCCACAGAGATCTTGTCTATGTAGAGGAGAGCTCCTCAGGCAACGAACTGGGAAGCTGAGGTGTCCCCATGGTTTTCACCATCCAGCGCCTACCAGTGATCTGACGGGTAACTCGCAAGGGTTCCATTTAAAACCAGAGTGGCTGACCCTCCACCATCCAGATTGATAGCATTCACGACACCCTGCTGCTTTAGGAAGTTGGCCATTTCCCAGAGATTGAGGCTGCAAAACAAAAACCAGTTAGTGCAGTTTAACAGCAAGGGATGCAAGAGCCATCTCTGGGCAAAGTAGCAGCCTCACTGATAATCTGGAGGGACTCTGAATTCTTGAACTGGGTTTATTCAGCACCACTTCCTGACGCTTCTCATTGGGTCTAAAATCTGTTTAGATTTAGGACAGTCTTCTTATAGACGAAGCAAACATTTCTGCTGGTGACCAATGGATATAACTGATATTTAGGCTTGGCAGAATTTGATTTTTTAAATATAATTTGGATGGACAATATCTATGTTTATTCTTAAGCATTTTTAATTTTTTTTTATCTATTTTCACAGTTGTGGGAAACTATGGGGGAGAAGGGTCAAGCAACAATGATTTAATGACAGTAGATGTTAGGCTTCAAAAAGTTAAAGCTTTATAACCATTAAAACACAAACTGTCAACATCACATGTCAAAATATACAGAGTCAAGATCCTTAAATCCAACTCTAATAACGTCTCAAGCAACATTTTCCTACTTTGCCTATCTGGAAACTTTGATTGTCAATAGAAATATTTTTGTCAGGTTGTGTCTATGGTGGAATCGATGTTTACTGACACTTACCAAAAAAATTGAATCCTGCCAAGCCTACTCACAGCTGTGGCCCTGGAAACATAGGAGTGAAATGGCTACCCTTGGCTTTTTGCACTACGGTAGCTATGACAGTGGAAAACCCCAGCCTGGGAGCACTCCACCAATGGAAAGAGTTCAAAACTGAGCTCAGACCCCTGGTGCGTGTCAATTGTACACACTAGGGTGATGCTAGTGGTTCTCATTTGATGCAGCTCTACTGGTGCAGACGAATGCTCAGACAGAAGAACCAGCTTCCATGCTGCCTATCAGAAGAACCTGAAAAGGGACGGAGTCAACATAAATCATGCCTCTGTCTGAAAGATGTTATCCCTCCTAGTGGTAAATCTAAGAGGACTATCCCTGAAAGAGCTGAGAAATGTTTCCCCCTCCAGTTCTACTTCATGAACGTGACAGCACTGTGGGAAGAGTCAAATTCATTGTTTCCTCCTGTCAATTTGGCCATTTCTCCTGCTGCTTGGATGGGTCCCTCACAGGGAAAAGACACAGTTCACCATAGGAAAAGGTGACTGTAAACTCTCAAACATTGGCAGGGAAAGCTGGCAGCAGGTGCAGGGCCTGAAATTCAGGGTCCAGGGCCAGGAGGCACCTCTGTGATCATCTAGTCTAGTGGTTCTCAAACGTATTTGATCGCGCCCCCTTCATGTCTGAAGTCGTATATGTGCCCGCCACACAAGTACATATACCAATCTATGCGGTGGCGGTGCTTCCCTTGAATCAGTTTTGGCTTCTTTGTTTTTCACTTGAGTTGTTTGTTTGTTTTCCTGGTGCACGAATGCACAAACGCTCCAATGTAAAAAGAGCAAAAGCAAAACTGTGATTGTGGTCCATGCTTACAATTAAATGTGCACACCGGGTCGTAGCAAACGGATGGCAATGACTTTGTATAATGCTATGCAAGCTTAACAGAAATCCGTCAAAATGCACAGCGCCATCTAGAGTCAAATGCACAGCACCATCTGAGGGTCTGATATGTCTGGAGGAATCAGCTTTGCTAGTTATTCATTGCTGTGGGTAAAGTGTGTGCAGTAAGTGCTTACCTCCCCCGCTCCCCCAAAGCTTCTCATGTTTTACCCCCCAGAATACATTCCATGCCCCCCAGTTTGAGAACCTCTGATCTCCTGTATATCACAGGCCAGAGAACTTCCCCACAATAATTCCTAGAGCCTCTCTCTCTTAGAACAACATCCAATCTTGATTTAAAAACAGTCAGTGATGGAGAATCCACCACAACCTGGTAAATTGTTCCAATGGTTAATTACTCTCTCAGTTAAAAAATTATGCCTTTATTTCCAGTCTCAATTTGTCTAGCTTCAAATTCCAGCCATTGGATTGTGTTCTACCTTTCTGAGCTAGACTGAAGAGCCCATTACTAAATATTTGTTCCCTATGTAGATACTTATAGACTGTGATCAAGTCATCCCTTAACCTTCTCTTTGTTAAACTCAATAGATTGAGCTCTTTGTGTCTGTCACTATAAGGCAGGTTTTCTAATCCTTTAATCATTCTCGTGGCTCTTCTCTGAACCCTCTCTAATTTGTCGACATCCTTCTTGAATTGTGGGCACCAGAACTGGACGCAGTATTCCAGCAGCAGTTGCACCAGTGCCAAATACAGAGGTAAAATAACCTCTCTACTCCTACTCAAGAGTCCCTTGTTTATACATTGCAGGATTCCATTAGCTCTTTTGGCCACAGAGTCACATTGGGAGTTCATGTTCAGGTGATTATCCACCACGACCCCCAAATCTTTTTCAGATTAAGCACTTTAGTCTTAAACCGACTCCATTTCAAGTTGGCAGCATCCGTTTATTGTTCCAAAATATAAAGCATGGGCCTAATTTAGCCCGGTGTAGTTCTCTTTAAGCCAGAGGGTTACACCGTGGCTGATTGGGGTCCAATACCTTTAAATTCTCTCGGGTTTTATTCAAGAGTGCAGGAGGGAGAAGGAAGTTATAGACTAGGACACGCATCATACATCTAGCTTCCAGGACAGAGTATGCTTCCATTTTAAAAAGTTACACTTCTAACCCTTTTAATTGAGGTGTGGGGGAATCATGCAAATGCAGCACTGTCTGGATAGCTCTGCAGACAAGTGAAAACAATAGGTCCAACCTGTTCCCATTGAAATGAGCAGCAAAGCTATCATGAATGTCAATGACAGCAGTATCTCGCTCACCACTGCTGAGAAAGGAGAAAATTATCCTTATTCATCACAATGAAATCTACACTCTGAAGCCTAGTGATGGCAACATCAGCGCCAACACGTAATTTCACTTGAGATCATTTTAGCAGAAAGATCCAGCATCAGTTCTTCTGTCTGCAGTAGTGGATTTAGAAGGGAGAGTGGGGTATCAGGAGCCCAACTGGTTAGACAGGGCCCTGCTAGCAGTAATGGAGCCCTGCAGGGTTGTTCTCTCATTAACTCAGAGTGCCTGACTCTGCCTCTTTATCACCACAAACTTTTATATGGTGCCTTAAACTTACACCTGGCTTTACTGAACATGGGAGCTGATGCTGTTCTCAGTACTGGCAGTGATGCCAGATCAATCCCTTTGATACTTTGCCTGCCCATGAGTTTACTAAAGAACGAGTCCTCAGCCTTACCCCCTCACATCTGTCTGTCCATCCATATGAACCAAGATCAGTCGCCCGAGCCTGTCATGTCCCACTGCCGTCCTGGCAGATATCACATTGATGAACTTGTCAAAGGACCCTGCATAGGAAAAAGGATAATTCACAGGCAGGTGAAAGAGCTGACTTTACAGACTCCTCTAGCTGGAGAAGACTGAGCATTAGTTACTAACTTAACTCCAACCTTCCCCATCTAACCTCACATAGGAATTAGGATAAGAATTTCCATAACCACTCTTGTTACAAGAGACTGGCTGGCTCGGGGAGATTGGGAATGGAATATGGAGCCCTTCACCTCTAGGTCACGGGTTCATCTACAGCCCAGGTTGATAGTGACTGCTCTTGTGAAATGAGTTTCTGGCTTCAATCTAGTTTTCCATGGAGAAGAATTCACACTAAAATAGGGCTCCTTGCTGGCATCCTCAGGCCAAGGACTAACGGGATATTATTATTTCTAGCACCCAAAGCCTCTAATCAAGATCTGGGCCCAGCGGATGTGGATCTGGAAGACACAGTCTCTACTCCAGAGTTCACAGTCCAGGCGCCTGCTCCCCGCTCTCTCAAACTTCCAGGGGAAAGCTCCAACTGTTGTATCTTGTTACAGCAGCTACTGAGGTGGGGGATAGGAAAAGACAGTGTCAAGATACTGGCTGAACATCAGCTTATGGGCGTGACCTGTTAACCCTTCCACTCCCACATATTACTAGATTGGCATGAGCGCTGGGGTGCTTTGCCTCACAACCCAGACAAAATAAGACACTCTCCTTATCCGAACGAGGCTTATTTTCAGCTCCCCCACCCGCAGCACTGGTGGCAATGCTCATGCAGCCCCTGCCCCAGCAACCACTGGAACTTTAACCATTACGCTGTCTAGACCTATTCTGAGCAGGGTTAGGTGGCTTGGTGTCTAAAATGGCAGCAGATAGCCCACCGCTGTCACCAGCTGTGCTGGCAGTAGCAACAGGGAGAAATGTTAATGATTCTGGTTCCATTACAATGTAGCACATGCTATACCTGTCATCCGATCCTCCCCAAGCAGTATGGGAAACAGTTTAGCTCTGTCTACACTTGCAGATGCACAACTGTTTGCACATGCACCCATGGCCGACAATGAGGGTGGCATGTACCAGTGCAGACAAAATCTATAGCTATGAAACCAAGATGCCCATTTACAACCTCCTCACAAGGCTGCTCATCAGCAGGTTGGAGGCAGTAGCTTAGGATCTTTACCTGTGGTTTGAGTTTTGTCACACTCCGCTGTCTTACTCTGACCGACATACACTTCTCCATCTCTCAGCAGCCAGACTACACCGCTTACCAGCTGCACAAATGGGTTGACTTGATCCAAAACATCCTCCTCCGACAGGTAACTGGAAGAGAGACCAGAGGAGTGAGGTGGCTCATCAAGGTGCCCAAAACCCTTTAGTGATGCCAGACTATTGCCTTGTCTACATTAGGAAATCCATTTACTGCTGATAACAGGCAGCTCAACCAGTTCTGGAAAAAAATGTGACCATGTGTGTAGATCAAGCCATGTTCTGCACTGTTTCAGAAGCAATGGACTGAACCTGGCTGGCAGCAAATCTATACAACACGCTGGGTAATACCCAGGTGACCACCAGCCCCTTGTGTATGCTAGAGCTCCTGCCATTGGTACCGCCAGGAGAGCTGAATCAGGGGAGCAGTGGTAGGGAGATTATGGCAAAACATCTTACTCTAAACAGAACCATCCCCGCAGGCAGTAACATGTCAATTTTCAAGCACAGGCAGAGCCTTGGGCTCTGTCTCCATTAGCAATGCGTTAAACCTTGTACAACAGCAGCTCCAGGTTTAAAAGAGCCTAAGTAGGCTAAGTTTAACCTGGCAGTGAAAATGAGTTGAGAATCCACATTGGCCTGGGTCAGATGGGTTTTGCAAGGCATGGAATCAGTCCCAAGACTCCTGAGGCTGTGTGGACAGACCCTGCTTTGCATTATGGGAAGGAGCCTTCATAAAAAAAACAAAAACCCAAACCAACGTTCTTGGAAGCAGAGCAAATGCTGCAAAAGGCATTCATGGCTAGAACCTCCAGGCCAGCTAGTGGGCGTGGCCATCCACATGAGTTCTTATTCACACAATCATTCATTGAAAAAACAAAGCATCACGAATACGAGCGTGATTAGTGGTGAGCGTATTTAGCATTGGAATGGCTCTCATGGCATTGTGAGAAAACCCTTCACAATTCATGTCAAATGCATCCCATTTGGCCCAGGGAATACAGAAAGCTTCTTAAGTTTATTTTGGAAGAATATTTTACTACCTTTTACTATCTGTGCTGGATATAATGCACCACGTACTTGAAAATCCACAATATTCAACATATTTCTGAAGAAGGAATGTCTAATTTGTACGTTTAATATCCTGATATTTACAAACACTGATTCTTACCACTCTCCTGGGAGGTTGGCATTATCCCCTTTTGATTGGTGAGAAACGAAGGCACTGGCAAGCTAAGGGCCTGATTTCCTGAGGCACCAAGCACTCACAAGCACAGAGGAAATTAACAAACTGTGGGTATTCAGAAAGGGGAGCTACGTGTAGAAATTATGAGTGACTGGCTCCAAGGCTAGTGATTCATAGATTCAGATTCCAAGGCCAGAAGGATCCATTGTGATCGTCTAGCCTGACCTGTTGTATATTACAGGCCAGAGAACCTTTCCAAAATGATTTTTAGAGCAGATCTTTTGGAAAAATGTCCAACTGAACTACAAAGCCCTGAATTAAAAAGATAAATCTTAATCTTCAATAGACCACAGTGTACGTGGCGTTCCAAGTTTAAATGAACCAGTACAAGATTGGGAAAGCCTTTATAGTACCTACACATGCACTACTTTTTTTAGTAGATGGGCTCTGTTTCCCTACAATTAATTGTATGTAAAAGTGATAGTCACACAACTTCTGTGTACACAGTCCATTACAGACAGAGGAGAAATTGGTTCTACAGGCATATGCCTAATCAGTTGCCTATGCAATGCATAGTACAGAAATTGCACATGCAAAAATGAAGGCTGTTTGGAACAGTCTGTAAATGTGATCCTTTATCTGCATGGTATTATTCCAGGAAAACAACTATTTCCGCAAAACTTTAATATCCCTTTTGTCCTTCCAACAATGTAAAATAGTAATTAAAAAGAAAATGAAGCTGCTAGGTGAATACATGAAGCCCTAGTATTGATCTTGATAAGCAGTATTCAGCCCTGGAAAAATATCTGGGTCTTTCTACAAAGCTGCTCTGATAGATCACACTGCCAGTGCTTCCTTTCAATAAGGAGATGTAATGTCTGAGATCAGGCCAAAAGGGCCATTCTGTAATGTACGGGATTAAAAATCCCCATTGTTATAGTAGGGGAAGGTCCAGAAGCCAATTCCTAGGGGGGGCACTTTCTGCCTTAAGGTTTATTACTGAGCCTTTCCGAAGAAGAAAATGGCACAGAAAAGCGCCCAGATCCTTACCCAAACACCATGGTGCCGTCCTTCCTGATGCCAAACTGCGCGTTCTGCACGCCTCTGGCATTTCTCACCAGCCTTCCATCGCTCACAATGTTCCCGAGGCATTCTCCGGTGACGATGTCAAAGTAGCCACCATTTTGGGCCACTAGGCACTTGCCACGTCTTGCAGTTTCTATCACAGTGGCCTGAAGGCTTGAATTGCAACCTCCCAAGCCGCCAGGCTCTAACACAGAGAAGGTTCTCAGGGGGTTGCTCACAAAAGTAAAGTGGCCATAGACTTCCCTTTGTGTCTCGCCCTCTGGTGGGAAGTAAGACACGAATCCTCTTGTCATAGTCACAGGAAGTTCGGTGCTAGTGTTGCTGGGCCAAGTTTCATGTGTTACGTTGCCATGCACGACAGCTTGACAGTCTCTGACGTACCTGTGATGGTGACGAGGACCGTGGTAGGAAGGAGGATATGGCAATAACAAGTCATCATTTAATGAACTCCTGAAATGAAGAGATGGGTGAGATTATGAAATCTAGTTCTCATTCAACCAGCTGGTCTGTTTTCCATCTGTCTAAGCTACTTACAGGGCCCTCTGAGCACCTCTCAGTCTTTTTAATGTGTTTAGCCTCACAACGAAGTGCTACTATCCTCATCTTACAGATGGAACCGAGGCACAGAGCTACGTCTACAAAGGCTGTGGCAGCAAGCCTCCCAGCCCAGGTTGACAGACTTGGGCTTGCGGGGCTCACACTGGCGCTCTAAAAATAAGCATGTAGCCAGCAGCTTGAAGTTGCAGTTCAGAGTCTGAAGCCTAAGAAGGGAGTGGGCTTCAAAGCCCGAGCTCCAGCCTGAGTCACAACTTCAAAGCGCTGTCTACACAACTATTCTCAAAGCACCAAGGCAAACCCAAGTCTATCGACCCGAGCTGGGACACTCGCTCCTGCAGCCTATGTAGACGTACCCAGAGACACTAAGGCCTCGTCTACACTTAAAACTTTTGCCACTTTTAACTTTGCTGGCATAGTTAAAGTGGCAACCCCATCCTCTCCCCACCCCCAATCCATGCAACTATGATGGTATATTGGTACAGCTTATTCCAATTCAGCTAAGTGAACTAAGCTATACTACATCTACACTAGGGCTTTGCTGGCATAACTATGTTGGTTAGAGGTGTGATTATTTTTTTCCTTTTAAACCGACATAGTTACGATAGTAAAACTTCTGAAATACAGACCAGTTTAAGTGCCTTGCCCAAGGTCACACAGAAAGCATATGGCAGAGCAGTGAATGGAACTCATGTCTCAAGTCCCTAAGCTCCTATCTGATAAGGAAACGAGCACCATTTTGCTGTCACTATTGCACTACCAGCAGTGGGAGTGCTGGCACAGGCAGGGGACAGGCACTTTTTAACTATGCATCATATAAATGATCAGAGCAGGCCTAGATGTCACAGTGGCAAAAATATCTGCAGCCTGTCTAAAAGGATTTGCTGAACTCAGAAGGGGGCTGTGATGTAACCTTTTTAAAAAAAAAAACAACAACCAAAAAAACAGTCTCTTGTGTTCCACATGCTTTGATAGATGGAAACCCCTGAAACTGGATTCCAAATTCTTTACTCAAGGTTAGTAAATAGGTTGTTACTTTGTGTTGCCTTTAGCATGAAATAAAAGGGAATGATATCTGCCACAAACACACCTTATATTTTTCTGGGGTTACCACATATGAATATCAGTCACTAACTATATTAAAGAAGACATTACAAGGAGAGTTGTACAGTAGAAATTAACTGAAATATTAGGTAACTGATACAAGGAAATCCTGTCTTGAATACCCAAGAAAGTTAGGTCTGGTCTACACTACAGACCTTTATTGGCATAATCAGCGGTGTGTAAAATCCACACCTCAAACGACTTAGTTAAACCGCCCTATGCCCGTATAGATAGCACTTATGGCATCGGGAGACCTTTTCCCGCTGACATAGCTACTGCCTCTCGGGGAGGTAGATTCACTATGCTGATGGGATTGCAGCTGCACTGATTCAGCGTTTTAAGTGTAGACATGCCCTTAGAAAAAACATAATATAAAGGAATTATACGATGAGACATACAGAACTTACTGTTTCTTCAGACTCCCAAAACCTGGTCTATGCTTATAGAATAGTTGTGCTAGCTGTAATAGGTGTTCGATTGTTGCACTAGTCCAGGTTTGTCACCAGTTTATATGGGGCATAATTTGGTTGAAATCATTTCTGAAAAGAGGCTAGGTAGTAATCAACTACTGGCATGACTATAAAAGCTAAAAGACTCAAATGTTTCTTTCTTGGCATATTCTCTCTTTCCTAGAGTAGACAAACAATAAAGTACAGTACTTAGCTTCTAGACCAATAGTCATAGTCTCATTTCCAGGCATCTTTCTCTTCAATGGCTTTTCTGTCTCTCTTGCTTGCTTTGTTTATGCTGTGGCTCCACAAGCAGGGAATGTGTTATATTTTTGCTCCTACACTAAAGTCAGGACAGGGGCAGTTTAGACAAGGGAAGATCAGCTAAAAGTTCATTTCCCCTCTAAGCGCATGTCACGTCGGAGACAGGACTTTCCAAGAGTACTAAGTACAGCAAAGTTCGTTCCCTAGACCGTGTGAAAGGCGCAGGTCGGCCGAGACACCCCCCGCCGCTGGTAGAACCCGCTGCACTATTTAGGGGAACAAACTAGACGGAAGCGGGTGCACAGAGAGCACGTGTCAGGAACAGAAAAATGTTTTTAAGTTGGCCCCCTGAGAGCACTACAGGGTGAGGGGTAGATGATTTTGAGAGAATGGGGAACTGGCTGAGTTTATTAGCGGGGAAAGGGGTGGCGGGGGGAACTGGCCGGGCTCACTGGCTTGGGGAGGGGATGGGGAAACTGGACCGGGGTTACCAGCGGGCGGGGTGTGCTCCCCTCCCCAGCCTGGACACCCGGGCTGGCCGGATCCGCCGCCCGGACAGGCGCCGCCAGCTGCCCAGCCGGGAGGCCAGAGACTCACCCCCCGTCACTGCCTCCGTGCGCTGTGCGGAGCCAGCTGAGCAGCGCCAAGGCAGCGGCGACAACAGCCACAGGCCGCTGCCGGCGCCGGTCCGCGCACTCCGATGCCAGCGTGGAGCCCGCCATATTGAGCAGGGCGGAGGATCACATGACAGTGCGTCACGTCATGTGATCAGAGAGAGGGGGGGGGGACAAGCTGCGGGTTGTGCGCCACCTAGTGTCAGCCCGGCAGTATCGCGGCCGCAGAGACCAGGCAGGCAGGAGCCTGCAAGCAGACCCTAGAGGGCAACGTTTAAAAGCGAGAGGCCTGTTCATACCCCAAACCCTGCCCCCAGAAACCCTCCATAACACCCCCCAAACGCCCCCGTGAGACTAGCCTAGAAATAGAATACTTTCCATAACCACCCCCCCAAAAAAGATACCCATGAAACTCTATAATATTCCACAAAAACCTGCCCCCCACAAAAAAACCTTACTCCCTTCAAGTGACTGTCCCACCTCAGAATCTGGTCTCTTGTGATCCCACCACAAACTTGATCCTTCTGTGGTGACCCTCACCTCTCCAAACCTTTCCCTGTGTCGGGGCCCCCCCATTGGTTCCACACCCAACAGGAGCCTTGCCGGCTCTCACAAACTTAGCTGTACTTAGAGTGACCAGGGCAGCGGACACTAGGTGCACGGGGTGCATAGGGTTTTACAGGATCCCCCATCCCCAGGTCAGATATCTGCATAATAGTTCACCAAAGGGTGGCATGAGACCAGGGCCGGCTCCAGGATTTTGGCCGCCCCAAGCAGCCAAAAAAAAAAAAAAAAGCCGCAATCGCGATCTGCGGCGGCAATTCAGCGGAAGGTCCTTCGCTCTGAGCGGGAGTGAGGGACCGTCCGCCAAATTGCCGCCGAATAGCTGGACCTGCCGCCCCTCTCCAGAGCGGCCGCCCCAAGCACCTGCTTGCCAGGCTGGTGCCTGGAGCCAGCCCTGCATGAGACGTCTCTACCAAGAGCCAGTAGCCCACTGCTCGTCATAACCATTGGGATAGGCATGTACAGATAATATTGAAGGAGTTATGTATCTATACTAAAAATTATATTCTTAAGGTCTTGGAGTTAAGGCAGGTCACCAAGAGGTGATAACCTCATAGCTGTTCCTTTCAGGCAGGAAATAACAGACACCCATCTCCCTGTCTGGTACTTTGTGTTTTGTGCACTTTATGCTTGTTTGCATACTGAGCCATAGACAAAAGAACAGATTGTGAAATCTACAGAAACCAACAAGCAGCAGGAGGGGTGTCCTGCTTATGAATAAAAACAAAGGAGTGTTGTGGTATATCGTGGGGTGCAAGGAAACACATGGGGTCCATCGGTTAGAAGGCAAACGGACAGCATGTCTGCCACATGAAAGGAGGGTCACAGACAAGCCTGGGTGTAAAATCCTGCAAGGACTTTGAGGCGCAAGAGTATCTAGGCTATAGAATGTGTTATGTAACCATTTGTTTCCAATACTTGTACTTACTACTTCTTGAATCTCTGAGTATTGTTAAATAAACTAATACTTGATTTTACTATAAACATATCTAAGTGCTGTGAGGTAAGTGACACAGTGATCTGAGGTGGAACTGGCAAGCTAGAATGTACTGTTCCTCTGGAAGCAGTGAATCTGTGAATATTGCAAGTATCCAGTGAACCAGGGCCTGGATGCTCCAGGGAGATGGTCAGAGGGCTCAGGGGTTAGACTGTGCCTGTTGCTTACCTGTAGAGAGACAGCAGAGCCTTCATAGGTCTAGAGCAGGGGTTCTCAAACTTCATTGCACGACCCCAGGACGGGGGATCGAAGCCTGAGCCCATCCAAGTCCCACTTCCCTGAGTGGGGGGGTCCAAAGCCCGAGCCCCACTGCTCCGGACAGGGGAGCCAAAGCTGAAGCTAAAGGGCTTTAGCCCCAGGCAGGGGGCCTGCAACCTGAGTCCTGCCGCCCAAGGCTGAAGTCCTCAGTCATTGGCGTCGGCCCAGGGTAGTGGGGCTCAGGCTTCATCCCCGGCCCCCAGCAAGACTAAGCGAGCTCTGGTGACCCCATTCAAAGGGAATCATGACCCACTTTGGGGTCCCGACCCACAGTTTGAGAACCGCTGGTCTAGAGGGGAGTGCTTGTGTTGCCTGTGGCCAGTGGCATTGGGCAGGGCCGGCTCCAGGGTTTTTGCCGCCCCAAGCGGCGCAAAAAAAAAATAAAATATAATAATAGTTGCAATCGTGATCTGCGGCGGCAATTCAGCAGGAGGTCCTTCGCTCCGAGCGGGAGTGAGGGCCCGTCCGCCGAATTGCCGCCGAATAGCTGGACGTGCCACCCCTCTCCGGAGTGGCCGCCCCAAGCACCTGCTTGGCAAGCTGGTGCCTGGAGCCGGCCCTGGCATTGGGGAGCTGAATCCTGGCAGGCACAGACAAGGCTTCTTCATGCTAAGGGCAGGTGCTACCAAGGTGCCTCACGAACCTGGGTACCACCAGGAAGTGTTACACCCAGCTCCTGGAGTCAGGTGATTATGGGAGAAGCTGGGCTTCCATTCTAAATGAGAAAAGGGTGGAGCCCTTCTGGCTGTAGAGATAAGCTTGAAAAATGTGATTCAAGTGTGACCAAGGGATCAGAAACCTGAATGCAATCCCCCCAGCACACACACATGATTTTTTGAACCCTTGTGGTTGACAATACTTCATGCCCCAGTCTCCCCCAAAAGTCTGTTCCCCTAATATGTCTCTCCATGCCTCTCAGGTCCTGACCCTAGTCATTGGGAATCCCCTTTAAATGAAGGTGTTGAACAACTAATAGTTCCTAGAAAATACATAGAAATGCTTTTCTTTGCCATATGCTGCTCAGGAGAATCCAAGATATTATTCCACATGCCCACATTTTTCCAGCACCACAGGCTTTACTCAGATTTCCATAGACTTTAATATTGCCCTAGCTCTCTGAAGTTAATGCTAGAAGGGTGTTGCTGTGGGTCAATAGACCCAATTTATGAGCTTCTTTCAGCCCAATCCATTTTGACAGGAGTTGCATGATGGGACCCTAAGCCAGGAAAGAGCTAGCTGTACATCAGAGGAGTCCTTTTTGTGTAGCAGTTTTATCATGCTTAGATTCCAGGAACTGTCCTGTGATCTGTACAATATGGGGTTGGATATTTACTCATCCTGTAGCTACTCTAAAAAGGCACTTCTCAAGCTGAGGTGTGGACCAGTGATTATATGGACCACTTACTGGTGGGCCACTGACAGTTGCAAAGTCACATGATGTTGGCTTCACCTCTTTGGTTCCAGGTGCTTCTTTACAGGCATCCTGGCTCTTCTGGTCACTTTCTCCTACAGCTTATGCTAGAGATTCCAGTGAAAGCTGCATGTCAGCAATTGCTCTATTTGTCAGGGGGACACTGTGCAATAGCAAATGAGACCTTGAATGGGTGGGGACATGGTCTGTACTCAGGGGACAGGGCGGGGCGCTGTTCATGAGATGATCTCTAATAGGATGTTACTATGCAGAACATGCCACTGCTCTAAAAGCTTACACCAGAGAGTATCCCCACATCAAATGTGGAAAGTTCCCTTTTTGATCCAGCATCTGTTTGATTTTTATTTTTTCCTAAACAAAATGGAATTGATTTCAGGGGGTAACACAGGCTTGGTGTTTTTTTAAAAAAAAATTATGTACCTCTCCAAGTTAAACATCACCCCAATAGTCACTTGCTTAACCTTCAGTTGCTATCCCCTACATAGTCAAAGATAGATAATAGTTAAGGTCAATCCCTTTTCTACTTAGCTTGGATTGTGTGTTGCCATAGTGAAGATATTTACTCTCTCTGTGCCTCAGTTTTCCCATCTGTAAAATAAAGAGGATGCTTCCCTAGCTCACAGTGCTGATGTGAGGATAAATACACCTCTACCCCGATAGAATGCTGTCCTCAGGAGCCAAAAAAAAATCTTACCACGTTATAGGTGAAACCGCGTTATATCGAACTTGCTTTGATCCGCCAGAGTGTGCAGCCCCGCCCCCCTGGAGCGCTTCTTTACCGCCTTATATCCGAATTCGTGTTATATCGGGTCACGTTATATCGGGGTAGAGGTGTACATTAACATAAGTAAGGTGCTTGGGGCCAGATCATTAAAGGTGCTGAGTTTCCTAGCTTCCACTGATCTCCCAGACCTGTGCCTTAACCTACAAGTCCAGTTTCCTCAGCAATACATAGTTTGTCTTTAACTGTGTGCATTTTTAATGTTCTTTTTTTTCTTATTTGAATAAGAAAAATCTTGAAGTCTTCCCTGATGAATTGCCCTGATTTTCAAATGGAAGTTAGGAGTCTTGATACCTTGGTGGATGTAGGCCTAGGACAGCGTATAAGAACCTTGATATCTATAGATGGAGTCTGCACTCATTCAACGCAAAGAGAGTTTGGCCACTTACTTCAATGAAGCAGGATCAGGCTATTAAAGGATAAAATCTACAGAAAGTTATAACTGCAAACACACACATCAGCAGTCATGAATCAGCTGCAAATCTTGCTCATACACACATTTCCTGTGAACAGCATCATATCTGCTTCATGTCTAACATCAGTACTGTGAGAAAGTTCCTCCTCTATCTTGGTGGGTCCTGCGCTTATTGGCAGATTTTCTTGCCTCAGAGATTCACCATGTGGGTTGGGGAACAGCCCAGAGACCTTCCCGTCTGGATTGGGAGGTTTGGGGGGAACCCGGGCCTGCCCTCTACTCCGGGTTCCAACCCAGGGCCCTGTGGACTGCAGCTGTCTATCGTGCCTCCTGTAAGAGCTGCATGACAGCTACAACTCACTGGGCTTCTTCCCCATGGCCTCCTCCAAACACCTTCCTTATTCTCACCACAGGAACTTCCTCCTGGTGTCTGATAATGCTTGTACTCCTCAGTCCTCCAGCAGCACACCCTCTCACTCTCAGCTCCTTGCGCCTCTTGCTCCCAGCTCCTCACACTCACACCACAAACTGAAGTGAGCTCCTTTTAAAACCCAGGTGCCCTGATTAGCCTGCCTTAATTGATTCTAGCAGCTTTTTCTTAATTGGCTCCAGGTGTCCTAATTAGCCTGCCTGCCTTAACTGGTTCTAGCAGGTTCCTGAT